ATTTGGAAATTTTCTTAATAACTCATTGAACTATCACATGATTCGTACTAGTTTTCTCTATCAAATTGTTGAAATGTAGAGAATTCCAGCTTCATTTTTGTCAGTTTTGTAGGTGGGAAATATTTGTCGCATAATTTTCTTACCAAATCATCACAAGTAGTGACACTATCATGTGGTTTTGAATCCAACCATTCGAATTCAATATCTCTTATTGTATAAGAAAATAACTGGAGTTTGATTGCATCATCGTTTATTCCCGTGAATTGAAAGTTTTAACAATTCCCGAGAAATCGTGAAATATGTGTGTTTAGATTTTCATGTGCCTTTCTGTAGAACTGTACATTGTTGCGGAAAAATTAATCAAATAAGCCTTTGTCTAGAAGTTATTCTATTCAAACTCTGGATATACAATGCTGGAACGCTTGGGTGCTACTGTAGGAATCAAAAATAGTGAAACTAGTAAGTTTCATTCATCAATTTCTACGGATCGCACTGATTTTGTTGTGTCGCTATCCTAGCATCTTCTTGTGCAATTAGCAATCTAACTTGATCATCTGCTATTTAAAATTCTTTTTTTTTTAAAAAAAATTATTATTTGCGTTCCTTGAGTCTTCATCTGAAGTTACATTCTATTTTTCGGATGAAATGGTTCAAGATTATCACCTTCTCATCAGAGCATAGAATAAACACTTTTTCACCTATACGAGAAAGAAAAATATAACCAATCAAGTAAAAGTCAAAAATAAAATAAACTACCATTAAATGTAAATAGTCCCCAAAACTTGTTGCACATTTTCTATCACAAGTGCACGATATCGTACCAAATAATATTATATATCTATGAGTTTGGATGATCGTTCCCACGTCGACATTATTTAATTCCTAATTAATTATTTCTAAATCCTAGTTCAAGACTTGAAATCAATTTTTCAATTTTGTACAGCTTTAATGCAATTTCATCCAAGCTTGTCAAATTCGGATTTTCTACTAAAGCAACCATAAAATAAGTAAAACTAAGTAACTAATTATTAAAAGGACTCTTGAATGCCCATTTTTTGTGGCTCAGATAAGTGTAAAAATATACACATCCACGAGAAAGAAGTCTAAGAAAAATCTCAATGTCCAGAGGAAGAAAAAAATCTCCCATGTCTAAGTTTGAAAAATTTCAAGAAGATCAAACATCCTTCTCAAATTCAAAGTAAGTTAAGTCAACTCCTGAAAGATCTAAGACCCTGTTTGGTACACATTATTTTTTTCATTCTCATTCTTCTACTCATTTTCAACCACACGTTCTTCAATAAAATAAAATTTTCCATCATATCAATAACTTTTCCTTTATTTTAACCACATATTCTCCATCAATCTACTATTCAATAATACATTCTTTCAAAAGAATGTGTCTCAAACGCACTCTAAATCTTCTTTAAATCAAAGTTGAGTCCAAGTCAAGTCCATAAATTTCAAAGAAGACCAACTCTTTGACGTTTAGGAATCAACACACGTGGCCCCTCATCTTCAACCATCTGACCGCCTCTCCAAATCAAAGCCAATTCCATAAATTCCAAAGAAGTTCAATTCCTTGAAATTCAGGAATCAAAGCCACGTGGCTCCTCTTACTCAACATTCAGAGGATTGTGCATCAACATACTCACTAGATGATCAACCTACTATGTAATTTCTCAAAATCAATATTTCTATTTTCATACACGAAATTTATTGTACACCATAATTATTCACCGAATTTTCAACTTTATGTTAGCGGAGTTGTTTCTGAACTATAAATTGAATGATATTTGGATCGACTTTCAACTTTTCAAAGACCGGGTTTAAGTTTCTAAACATTGCATTTACACTAGCAACAAAGAGATTTGTTATGGAAACTTAAGATTAATGTGGCGACCCAATGGAGTTCCTTTTTGTTACATCACGCTGGTACAATAAGAACACTTATATGAGCATTGACTCTGGCTACATTATATACTCTTTGAAGGGCATTTATAGAAATTTTTAATTATTATTGCTAAAAATTCAAATATAATGAGTCAATTTTTTGGGCGAAGATGTATTCCATTGAATTATTGATGAATGGTTCTTTACTTTTCTTTATTGATGGACTCTCCACCATTGCAAAAGATATGTTGTTTGGATGAATCTCATTCTTTTAAAATGAATCCCACCCCACCACTTGACATAGTAAATATTCACTCACCAAAAAAAAAAGCACATTGTTGCACACATTTATGCGTGTTTTTTTGTTGGTTTTGATATGATTTGTTGTGGAAATTATTTTTTAAATATTTTATTTTTAATTGTAAGTTGATCCATAAGTGTGTTTTCTTTATATCATAATTCCTCAAAACACATGGAAATAATTTAAGAATATTATGTAGTCATTGAAGGAAGAAATTCAAAACACACTATCTACGGTGAAACAGGTTTGATTCTTTTCTAGTATTTTAAAACTATTTAGAAGAAAATAAGGGCTAAACACACTATTTTAGTCACTTTAACTTTGTTTTTTGGGTTATTGGCGCAAAACGTCCCTACCTATGGAGGTGATTGGGGAAAACATCCCTACCTTTCATTTTTTGGTGCAGAACGTCCCTACCTTTCACATTTTCTGTGCAAAACGTCCTTTTTACCAATTTTTAACGTTAATTGACCATTATACCCTCCTATATAAATAAAACAAAAGATAAAAGAAAAGAAAAATAAAGAATAAATTGTAATCTACTCCCGAATTTTTTTAAAAATACAAATCAGTCCAAAACTTATAAAAATTAACAAAAACTCTCCCTTTCTCTTCTCCTCCACCCCCTCCGCCTTCTACACCCCGCCGCCAAAATTACTTTTCCAAAAATAATTCTTCCTCATCGAACAAAAATCGTAATCAAAACCCATAAGAAAAATTCAAAATAAACATAACTGAATATCCACGCACACACATAATCAGGCATAAACCAAAGGAAAGTACCGAGATTTCAAGACCAAACCAAGAATATTTGAGGATTGAATTGAGAACCCATGTTGGAAAAATGTGGACTTGGAGGACCCAACGTTGGATGAAGCTTTTAGAAAAGGTATAAAAGAAGAATATGAGCTTGAGTGCAGTTTGGCTTGTGTAAACATATGCAAAGGTGCTGAGTAAACTGAAGAAAAAGTCATGGAAGCCATTTTTGAAAACTGTGTAAATGGGTTTTAAGAATTGGGTTTACAGGGACGTAGAAATGCCTTCAAATTGGGATGAGATTGAATCTGAATTAAACTATTTGTTGGTGATATGGAACCATGAAATTGCTCACCTTAAGTAGTATTAGAAGCCTGTAATGGAGTTTGGTCATGGGTGTTGAAGTGTTGGCCAGAATTGATGTTTAAACAGTGCGTGAGGTCGTGTTTTTGAGCTGGGATTTCATCTTATTATTGGATCTGTTATGGCCGATTTTTAGTATGGGATTGTAGAGTGGGATGAGGAGATGTTGGTGGTGTGGAAAACCGGTGGTTTTTACGGAGGTATGGCGGTCGAATTTAGAGAAGCAGCCGGCTCAAGCTGCCAGTTCCTTGGCAGGGGTCAAATTTGGGGACGGGGGCTTCCCCTGCAATTTATTAAATTGTGGGGACCCTCATGCAATTATGGGTTTAAGGTAAAGTTATAATTTTTTAAAAAATGTGAAGTTTGGCGGGCTATTTGCGCTTTTTAAAAAATTTGGGTCTATACTTACAATTTATTCTTTATTTTTCTTCTCTTTTATCTTTTGTTTTATTTATATAAGAGGGTATAATGGTCGATTAACGTTAAAAAGTGGTAGAAATGACGTTTTGCATAGAAAATGTGAAAGGTATGGACGTTTTGCACCAAAAAATAAAAGGTAGGGACGTTTTCCGCAAGCACCTCCATAAGTAAGGACGTTTTGCGCCAATAACCCTTGTTTTTTTTTACTTTGATCTATCTCTATCTACTGAATTTAAACACTTTGTCGATCTTTATCTATTAAATCAACAGAAATGTTAACATGATTATAGAAAAATATACAACACGGTGAGGTAATTTTTTTAGTGCAATTATTATGGGAAAATCCAGGAGGATTTTTTTTTTCCATTTTTTATTTTTCTAAGTTTCTTTGTAAAAATGCGGTTCAAAACAATGAGTCCAACAAGATGGTTATCTTGTGTGTTTGTCTCCCATTAATCGAGAAAAATAGAGTAATAAATAGTATTTTTTGGAGAATGTGTGGTTGAAAATTAAAGTAACTTTATTGGTTTGTGTGTAGAATATTTTATTGGGTGAATGTAGTAGAGAATCTTATTGTAGCAAACAATTTTTTTGAATAATGGTAGACAAACAGGGGCTATAATGTCAGTATTTTCCTTACATTTAAAAAAAAAAAAAAACTTATTTATTTGACAAGAAGATAAATGTTACTTGTTAAACAAATAAATTATTTTTACCAAAAAAAAAAATTGTTTATTTTATAACCTATTCATAAAAAATAACTTTTTAAAGCTTAGCTTAACACGCACTTGGATGAAAAGAAGGGCCAAATGCCTTTTATAGTGTCCCCAGCTCAAAGTGAATGGAGACAAAGATGCCTATCAAATAAGCCTAAAATAGGACCCTCCACAATTCATATTCAAAATTTAAATGCAGAATCAAGAACCCCTTTCGTGCACAAAAAGAAGTCCCTTCGAATCAGAACCTAACATATTTTCCTTTTCATTGAAACCTTCTTTTTAATTGGATTACACCCAAGAAATAAAGAGGATAAGAACAAATAATATTTTCAAAAAGGCTGGGGATCAATGAAAAATATAGATGCTCTGCGTCGTAATAAAGCATATATATGTTTATCAAATTTATCGTATATTCACAATAGACTAAAATGAAAAATAAAAGCAAGATAGAATCTACGTACTATTGCCTATTAAATGACTATAACCCGTAAGCAGTAGCTTATGTTGTCGGACAAATAAGCGATTATTTGTGTAGTACTAGTTCTCCCTTGTTACTCCACGACCTTATTTTCCGTTTCTTTGGACTTGTTTGGTGACTTGCAACAATCTAATCTACAAGGGTCAGCCTCATGAAGCAATTGAACGACTTCATTCATTGTTGGACGGAGTGATGGTATTTGACACGTGCAACGTATTGCAATACGAAGTACCTTAATCATCTCGTCCTTGAAAGATTCAGATACCCTTTTGTCTAAAATCTCCATCGTACCTTGTTTAGTCTCCACTTTGGTCAAAACCCAGTATATAATATTCTTATTTTCTCCGAACTCTGGCTCTACCGGCTTCTTCCCCGTTATTAATTCCATTAGTACAACCCCGAAACTGTACACATCACACTTGGTTGTGGCCTTGGAAGAATATGCGTATTCTATCATAAGTGGATAAACAAAATTAGAGAAACAATGGAACCTAAAAGGATATTTTAAAGATTACGAGTTCAAAATGAGAGGAAATCAGTAAAATAAGTAACATATAAAATTAATTATAAGCTAATTTGTATTAGGTGAATTACCTGGTGCCAAGTAACCGTATGTCCCTGCAATAACAGTTGTGGTAGAATCTTTTGATCCCCTTGCTTGCAAAACCTTAGCAATTCCGAAGTCTGCAACCTTGGCCTGATAATTGATATCGAGTAGGATGTTGGTCGATTTGATGTCTCTGTGAATTATTGGTCGCATCAGATCATGGTGCAGGTACGCCAATCCCTGCCCTATCCCAAGCGCAATCTGATGTCGAATAGGCCAATCCAAAACAATTTTTCCTTTATGAATTGCATCCCAAAGGTTTCCATTGGGCATGTACTCATAAACCAGCAAACTGCAGTCCAAACTCGAGAAATAACAATACAACTTGACAATGTTCTTGTGCCTTATGCTTCCTAGAGTTTCAACTTCAGTTTTCAACTCCTTGTCCATAGTCAATTGATCCTCCAGTGAAGAATCTTTTGATTTTCGACTCATCAACTTCTTAACAGCAACAACTCCTCCATTCTTCAACTCGATTTTGTATACTGATCCTGATCCTCCACATCCGACTATATTTTTATCGTCCAGGGATTCAATGATCTCACGCTGATCAAAATACATTGGATGGAAGCTTTTAACATCATACGAGTAAACTGAGGATGAGGTATCATTGAGGTCCATCATCTTCCTTTCTTTACTAAACCATCGTTTCAGAAACAGGACGATACCTACAATAACAATTCCTACCGAAATTCCTATCACCCAAATACAGTTTATTTTCTTTCTGTTATAAGCTCGAGTACAATGAGAAAAATTTGGGTCGGACAAATCAAGATCAACAGGTATGCAGAGGCCTGGATTGCCTGAAAAACTTTCTAACAATCCTCCCTTTACGAATGAGAGAGGAATAGGACCAGAAAGTAGATTGTTCGAAAAGTTCAACGAATTAGGTAACAATTCAGAGAGGCTTTCTGGGATACTACCCATCAAGAGATTGTTCGAAAGATCAAGAACATTGAGAGATTTAAGTGAAGAAAACGATTCCGGGATGGAAGAGTTTATTTTGTTACCTTGCAGTAACAACAAATTCAGCCTTCTTAGGTTGCCAATTTCAGAAGGTATGGGACCAGTCAGGAGATTGTTGCTGAGATCAATTTTCACTAAATTGACTGCTAGAGAGATTTGAGAAGGTATAACACCAGAAATCCTGTTGCCCTGCATGAACAGCTCTGATAAATTCTTAGCATTTTGAATGGTTGAGGGGATAGAGCCTGTTAAATGATTATATCCCATATCAATAATTGATGCATGAGGAAGAGCTAGAATCCCTTCTGGTATTTTCCCTTCCAAATTATTGTTACTAACTCGAAACCGGATAAGAGACTTGCATTTTGCATAACTTTCAGGCAGTTCTCCAGAAAACATGTTCTGTAGGACAAGGAGATACATCAGTTTGCCACCACTGCACAATCCCTCCGGCAGATTTCCGGACAGCTGGTTTTCTGACAAGTCCAATCCAGTGATGGCGGACGACATGCCGAGACTCTGTGGGACTTCCCCTGTCAATAAATTGTCGTAAAGGGATACGGTGTGCAAAGTGGTCGAGTTTGTGATAGTGGCTGGAATTTCTCCCGAAAGACTGTTGTTGTAAAGCTGAAAGAATTGAAGATTGGGAAGGAGAAAAATGGAGTGTGGAATTTCGCCTATGAACTTGTTGACAGACATGTCTAAGTCTATGAGTGCAGTTAGATTTCCAAGTTCCTCCGGTATTTCTCCTTCAAGTTGGTTATAGTAGAACTCAAGCTGCCGCAAATTCTTCAGCTGACCGAGCTCTGTCGGAATTCGGCCTGATAGGTAATTTCCACTCAATTCAAGATCAATCAGAGAAGTCATATTTCCTACTGAGGGCGGAATTTTGCCTTGCAGCATGCATGTTGTCAATATCATCGACTCGAGTTTTGTCAGCCTGGAAATGTTCTCCGGCAGATACCATAAATCGAAACCGCCATTTTCATTGAAATTCAAGACCTCGAGATTAGTAAGATTGGTGACTGACATAGGGAACTCACCTGTAAAGAGATTATATGAAAGATCAAGTACCCTCAAGGATTTCAATGGAGACAAATCTGGCAACTTTCCAGTGAAATATACGCTGGTCATGTTCAGCTCTTCCATGAGAGTACAGTCAGTGATTCCGCGGGGGAATCCACCATGGAAGTTATTGAATCCTAGACGAAGTACGCGTAGTTTAGGCAAATAAGAGCATACTTGTTCAGGAAAGTTGCCAGTAAGTGACCATCCAGAGATATCAATCTGAACAATGTTTCCTTGATCATCACAGCCAATTCCAGTGTAATTGCAATAGGAAATTCCTTTGTTGATATCCCATTTGATCAATGAGTCCCCTGAAAGTGACTTCTTCATAAGAGTCAAGAATTCAGACTGGCCAGTTGTGGTTGCTGGGCACGAGCTGAACGCAGATAGTATGATCACAAGAACGAAAAGAGCTCGTTGAAATGCCATCCTAGACGATTCAAGAGTCATTGTAGACTACTTGAGAATAAAACTCAATTATGATGGAGAAGGAGAGAGAAAGAGGGGGAGAGAAAAATGGTAGTTATTTTGGTTGGTGCAAAGGAGAAGGATGAAGTGAAGAAATATATAATTGGATAGTTTGATGGGAACATGGGGTGCTGTAGTAAGCAGTAGCAAGCCTTGATGATTAAAAAGGGAGATTCTTGCAGTGGTGTTCATAGTGAGATGGCGATGTGCATATTGGCATAAAGAAGCTTTAGTGTTTATACCCCCACTCACACTGTCACAGAATAACGTCAACTGTAAAATTCATCCGCGCTCCAAATATCAACGGGAATTGGCACAAATGGTTTCAAACCTTTGCATGTCTTGCATTTTTGGTACAAGCCTTTCAATCTTGGAGCAAATGGTTCCAAACTTTTGCATTTTCGGATGAATTCCGTCCAGAAAGACTGTTGAGTGGCGTGTGGAATACATATTGTTTTAAGGTTAAATTGGAACGTAGTCCCAACTTCGTCGAAAGTAGAAATCCTTTTCCTAACCAATTTTTTTGTCTTTATTTGTCCTCAACCTATAAGAGACTAAAAGTAAGTCCCTCCTATAAAAGACAAATTTATCATTATTTTCCAATAAAAAATAATTAAAACAAACACAAAAATGTGTCTCCTTCTTCTACAAACACAACGAAGGCCATCACTGGTAGGGGTGGGCGTGGGTTGAGTCGGTTTTTTACCCAACCCAACCCAACCCAACCCATTTATACGTTCCAACCCAACTCAATCAAGTTTCGATCGGGTTGGGTTGGGTTGGGTTGGGTTGGATTGGTCGATTTGGATATTAAAAATCATAAAAATATATTCCGACATAAAAACCTATCAACTACATGAAATGCATAAATAAAAAATTAAAGATTTTCACCGACAAATTTTAGCGATTAAGAAATTTACAAAAAAATATTTTCCCATTTCTTGGTGAGAAAATAAGAGAGAGGACGACGAGTAGAGTTGGACTGTGGGAGCGAGAGAGAGAGAGAGAGAGAGAGAGAGGAAGAGGAAGATCATTAGGTTAGGATCATGTAATTGTGTTTTGTAACTTGTTTGTCTCGTGACTTTTGCCTTTTGGAATGAAGTTACGTCTTTTTTTTTTTATTTTAAACTAAGTGGGTCAGGTTAAATCGGTTTTCTCGGATTAAACCGTGACCCGACCTGCCCCGCCTTCTTCGCCCAAAACCCAACCCAACTATAAAATAATAATAATAAAAAAAACAACTCAAACCGATCGATCGATCGGTTTGAGTTGGTTCGGGCGGTATAGGCGGGTTAGTTTGGGTTTTGCCCACCTTTAATCACCGATCCACCACCCACACCACAGTTCTCAATCCAAGCAAAACAATTCCCCTTTCACATCTAACCTCCACCACTACCACCACTCAAACGACACCCGTACCAAACCCCAGACACCTAACCTTCACCACCTGATTTTATGAATTTAGGTGCTCCCCTAAATTCACAATAACAGGGTGAGGATTCCTCCCGCCGTTGATTATTGCAAAATCTAAAAGAGAGGGATTTCTCCCCCTAGTTCACCGAGAATATCCCCCTTAAATTTATAGTATTAGGGTTTGTCAGGCTACTAAAGTAGTGGTGATGGTGTGGATTAGGCGACTATGTCACGGTGGAGGTGAGATGAAGTATGCAAGAGGTGAGTGAAGAAGGTGATTAAAGACCTATACTATTTGATTGATTTAATTTAAGGGTTGAATCATTTATCAAATACATTGGTCAAATTTATTGATAGGAAAGCAAGCCGAACATTTTAATCGCAATTGAATCTTTCGAATCGAAATTGAATAGGAACCAGAGGTTCGGATCCAGTTCTCAAAAAACTAAATTAGGAACCGAAATTGAGAATTCATAACTGCCTAGGTTTAGTTCCATCCTTGGTTTTTAAACTAGAATCATGGGTATTCAAATGAAACCGATTTTTTATATAATTTTTTATTTATAATTTATATGTTGGATAAAAAAAGTATAAAATCTAAAAACCCTAATTTGGGTAGTAATTAGTCTAAAACTCTAGACTCTAAATCTAAAAAATCTAGAATGGCTCTTACTTTTTTGTCTCTCGTCTCACATCAGATTATTGTACTTTAGAGGTTAATACATATTAATCTTTGCAATTTGGACTTTTTATGAATAAAAAAGTTCAAGCTAAATTGTGATGTAAGTTGATGAATTAAAGAGTTCATTCTTTGGGTTTACTTGTAAAATTATTTTACGAGAGAATTTATGGTTGAAAATGAGTGTTGGAAAAATAAGTTTTTGAAAAAAAAAAAGGAGTCTAAATTATTTCACCGAGTCCAAATAATTGAATTAAACAGTTTCAATGTATCGAAATTTTCGATTTTCTACAATCGACTGTCTAATTCGATAGTTCTCCAACAAAAATGGAATTGTTGAGCTCGATTTATGATGACATTGTATATTTCAGATATGGTCGAAAACCCCAAATATGATCGCTTGCTTGTTGAAAGACGAGAATCGATTCTTCAACCCATCGTCCAAACCTTCATTACGTAAATTGTTTGTTGATGTGACTCTCAAAATGCATAAATCCAGTCCTCAACTTAACAATAATCCTAATCTCCACATACACTGCTTTAATAACACATATGACTCCAATGAAAAATAAATAAATGAACAAGAAAGCATATAATTTTTTTTTCCATATTTTCTCAAACAAAATAACTTATTCCAACATATATAAACAAGAGAGTTCTAAAGTTTGTGAATACCAAACAATATCATCAAAAATTGAAGAGAATGTAGTTCAGTCTAAGTTTTTTTTTTTGTTGCCGTAGGAACCCGCAGCCGCTACCCGCCGCGGAGGCTAGACCACTGTGAGTACGCACTAGGTAAATCCCACTCCATGTGCACTAACCCGCAAACCACACAGGAGAGGTAAACCACACTAAGTAAGCCCAATGCGTCTGGCTCGACCGAGGAAGTGTTGGTAGGGGATTCGAACACGTGTCCTTTGGTCTCCGCGTTCACCTACTCCACCAACTCGGCCACCCCCGAATGGGTGTAGTTCAATCTAAGTTGATTCTTGATATGTTAGTTTATGCTTCTAGAGTTTTGTAGAGATGACGAGAGGAGAGAGTGGAGTTATCGTAGTTGCAAAATATTGGCTGGAATATGGTGGATCTTGAGGGTTTTAGATGATAGAGAAGAGTTATAGAAAGAGAAAAATTAATTTAATTTTGGTTGGTGATGAACTTTAGCCCCCGTTGACAATCATTACTAGGAAAAAATAGAGTTTTAAATAGTGATTTTTAGGAGAATGTATGTTTAAAAAATAGAAAAAGTTTTGAATTTACGTATAAAATATTTTATTGTATGAATATGTGGTTAAAAATAAGCGTGTAGAAAAAAGAGTTTAAAAATAATGGCTGTCAAACAATAGCTTAATAAGGTTTGAGGGTGATTGTTTTCAATATTCTTGTGTTTTCCAACTTACGTGTTGACCTTCATTTTCTGTTGTGCAACATAGTCAATAGATCTTAACTCTATTTATGTTTACGTATAAGGCTCTTGCATATTTCGATAAACTGTTAAACGCACATAGCCTTCTCCAAAAGTGGAGAAGGTGATCTCGAGTACTTCGACAATCAAGTCAGTCAATTATAGATATATATTTATGTGTGGGATGAATAATAAACCTGAGCCTCAAGGATGTGTATGATCCCGGGTTGTAGAGAGAATACCAACCTATGTTTCTATTTAGAATGTAAAATTGCATTACCTGTAAATTACACTAAGCCCTCGTTTGGTCCCCCATTAATTTATATTACATTTTTCTCTCTCCTTTTTAACCATATATTTTACAATAAAATAATATACTCATAAACCAAATTTTTTCTTCTTTTTCAACCACACATTCTTCAAAAAAATACTATTCCAAAAATTATAACATCAAATAATGGGGATCAAACTGGAGCTAAGTGCTAGCTTTATAGTAGATGGGAAAAGGTGGTTATTGTTGGATGAATGATACGTAGCCTCATCCTATAGGTCGATGCATTAACCTCTTAGGTGTCACCTCTCGAGTCCTAAGTTGAGATTGCATTTAATGATTTTGAAAAATGGCCACTATATGGCCTATGTTTGACATCTAAAAAGTAGACTAACAAATTGACTGAGATATGTCTACCACAAAGATATGAAATCAATCGATCATACGAAGATCTCTTGGACAGGGTGAATTTATGGAAGATACTTTGCAAATCCTTAGGGCCTATTCTCTTTACTATTTTCAAACCGTTTTCTGTTTTCGATTTTCCAAAACAGTGAAAACACATTCTCTTTCTTATTTTCGAAAACGTATTTTTGAAAACAAGTTAAAAATTTATAAAGAAAATCCAAAACGATAAATTTGTCGTTTTGTGTGTTTTCAGTTATAGTCAAATCAAAATTTTCAAAACGCATTTTGAGTGTATTCAAAATAATTTTTTAAAATGCAAAAAAAAAAACATATTTTCAACAATCTTAAAATGGACACTAAAAACACAAAACCCAAAATGAATTCAAAATTGAAAATATAAAACTGAAAAACAAAGAGAATAGCCCCTTATTGATTCAAAAATGGGCTGCAATAGATCGTGGCACTTTATCTCGATCATAGAGGTTCGGCCTCTACATGTTGCTTCGAGTGAGGTGAAGTCATTGCTTTGACTTCCTTTATTTGTTTGCCTCGATTAGGCTAAGTAACTAGACGATGTGAAGTGTGGGTTAGGTGACTTCTTATTATTTTCTTATTTGGCTGCAATCTAATCAATAAAAAAAAAATTCATAAGATGAGTAGCAAGATTATTTTTAAGAATTACAATCGAATAATTACACTTCATTTTTATTATTGTTGTTAGAATTTGGGCGTGGCCCGAATTTTTTGTTGAAAATAATTGAGAGTTCTAATTAAAGTGCACATTAATTCGAATCCTATTTGGAATG